AAAAAAAAAAATTTACCTACACACGAACACATTATATAACTGTTTGAGCCACATTAAAAATTTCATTATCATTCTTCTATTCATTTTCAACCACACATTATTCAATAAAATAACATTTTCCTTTACATCAATAACTTTTCCTTCTTTTACAACCACACATTCTCTGTCAATCTACTATTCCAAAATGCATTCTTCTAAAATAATTGGGGGAAGAAATCGAAAATACTTTAAAAAGCGTGTTTGATGCACATTAAAATGGAAAGAATGCATTTTATTTTGTGATGTGATGATGAATATGTGGTTGAAAAAAAAAAGAAAAAATTATTGATGTGATTGAAAATATTGTTTTATTGAAAAATGTGTGATTCAAAATGAGTAGAAGAATAAAAATAAAAATGTGACTCAAACATGGGCTAAAACTGTTGACTTGTGATGGACATGCTACACAGTATATCATATAACAACATCAATTAAATATGCATTAGGCTTACGAAATAATTGCTTATAGCTTAAATTAAGAGCCATACAAAATAATTTAGTTTAAATTAAATTTCACTTTTTTTTGGACCTACTCAAAAATCCCACTCCCACGTGAGATCCATAATAAACTGGAAAATTTGTGAATATGATATGACGAGCACTCCTAGTTTCTGACAGTACAGTGTGCGCTCGTGTGTGTAATTAAAAGGACTGACCGGCAGCGCAAACCCCGGGCGTCCATTTGTTTTTCTACACCAGCCTTATCCGGGCTTCCCCCAATAAAGCTAATCTTACCCTACCACCATTTATATCTATCGCTAATCTTGACCTAGTTGAACTTTGTGAGAATGATTTTCACATATGTATTGACGAAAGTGTAGATGACAGCAGATGATTGAATTTAAAAAGTTGACTGTATTTTAAACAGTTCAAAGAAAAAATATCATATGATACCATGTCAACTTATCTGACAATGTAGCATGATTGTTGAAGGATTCTAAACTCTAATGACTCGTTATCTAATAAAACCTCGACTACTAACCTCTAAATGAGTCAAGATGGAAGCAACAAGGTAGAATGAAGGATAGTTCATTCATCACAAGGGCATTTGTTGAAGGTAAAAGATGTACAATCAATCTAGATTCTTGATGCCAAGTTTAATTTAACAAAAGTCGTCAAGAGTATGAGTCACTTTGTACCCATCTCAAAAATCAAAAAGATAGGAGCCACAATTTGTATCATGTAATCAACAACTAGATGAATAAATCGTACGCATCAAATTCATCATAATGTTTGAGTGCTTGAATTAAAATTTAAATGATTATGAATTGTGAGTCTTACGAAATACAGGTATGATAAGTATTAGATGTAAATTCTACTAAACATACAGATTAAAAAGTATGTTTGACAGACTTCAGTTATAATTTAAATTTTGCCTAGGGTGAAATGGAAATATTATGGAAGCCCTTATATGCATACCTTCATCAAGAATATCAATCATTCTTTACAAAACAGTATCATAAAAATTGAAACCCAAGAACACCATGCAAAAGGATATTTAATTTGCAAATTGACATCGAGATTAAGGTACAGAAAACAAGAAGACCAAGCCCTCGTGAAGACAGCATTACATTCGATGCATACTATGAACGCGCACGTGAAATTGTGCTAATACAACATTCAGGTGGATACCCATATCTTAAAAGAAATTAAATTATATAAGTACACATTCATGTATAAATTAAGATTAAAAAGAGATCAGACAAAAATTAATCTGTACTTTCAGACAGTTAAAAGAACTAATCATATGCCTTAACTCAATCCCTTTTGCTTAATCGTGTATTTTAGTCGACAGCATATAAACATTCAACTTCAAAGGCTGTTACCAGATATCTATAGTAATGCTAATTGCACCAAGTCCATGCTGTGTAAAATAAGATAAGATCAGCAGCTTTTTCTGCATAAAATAATCTAACTTTGAGTTATTTTTGTAGATTTATTAGTGATTTAAAGACCAAGTTGAGCATAGATGTGTACTTTGCACACTCATGTACAGATTATACTCATTACTTTAATTTAGGACAATGTCATTTGTACATTATTGTTGACATTACACTTGATTGGATGAAAAAACTTCGATAAATAAGTAATGGTGATAATTGATATGAAACTTATTAGATCAGGTACAACGATGAATCATTTTATTTAAAAGTTTAAATTATTAAAGTGCGACAAATAATTTACTGTTTAATTTCTTTTCCAGGAAAAGAAGAAAAAAGTATGGTTCAGACTGCTTTCCTTTGATAACAAGTGATTCACAAGAAGACATAGCTTTTATCTCCCACCAGTGGGGGATTGTGGGAGATTAGACAATTCCCAATGTTTATTTCCCTTCTTTAGTTCACATTTGAGGCCAACACATGATCTGTTGGAACTTGTAAACCCTTTTAAAAGTAAGCAGGCAAGCATGATTATATTAATACTTATATTTTAAGTCGAAGAATCACATAAATCGCACGTAATGGAACAAGTTGAAGACTAAATTTAACAAAATCGTCTCAAGACTCCTCCCAACTCAACAAAGGTTAATGGCAAACGATTCTTCTAAGCAAAACATCCTAGAAAGAACTATCTATCCAAAGAATGGAACACCCATAAGATCCAATTACCCAAATCTTAAGGTAGAGTACAGTTAAAAATTAATCTTCTTGGCTGGGACGGTGATAAATTGAGAAAGCTAAAAGAGAAAGGACTGTTACTGTTTTAAAAAAGAAACTACTGTATTGCCATGATCTGCCCTCTGATACGTCTAATCAGAATCTCTACTTATAAATGGCTTCATTTAAATACTATAGTTGCAGTATTTTCAGTAAGGTATGCTAGAATTTTTTGCAAAAATTAACAGGAAAAAGAGATCACGTGTACAGTTAGAAGACAATCTGAAACACACACGGATATGTGAGAGTAAAACCAGTTTTCTTTCAGTTTTAGCCTTTAGGGTTTCTGTAAGGTATAAATTCTTGAAGGACGCACCTTTGCAAAGATTGTCCAGTTTAATTTCCATCTCCTTGAGGAACGACATTGCTTCGTCAAAAGGCCTTGACAGATCTGATCTATACTTCACCAGTACTTGGTAGTATGTTTCCTATAGATAAAGAGGAAAAAAAGAATTTATAGAACATTTTAGCTGAGACAAACAGGAGGATTAAGAGAGTGACAAATTAGTAAAAGAATAGGAATTTCAATGTGCAGTCACGAGATGACTAATAAGGAAACTCGAAACTTCTAGAGACAAAATTTGTCGAGATTTTAGTTTCGACTCTTGTTGTCAACCAAAAGTCTTTGTGTACTCGTGATTATGTACGCGGAAGGGAGGAAGGAAGGAAGACCATGAAGTCGTCGAGCTCAGGATCGACTCCTAGACAAACGGAAAGTTCATCTTGCTTACAAAACTCATATTCTCTCTTGATTTCTTCAAGCAAAGATGTTATTTCTGGGGGTGCTCCGACCTGAAAATTGAAGAACTTGTTCAACAGAAATTTATTTGAATTGTACAAGAAAATTAACAAATTGCTAGTAAAATCTAAAGTCAGTTGCCAGTTTCAAGAATTGTCTGATTTCTTTTCCCTAAGTAGCAAAACCCTATTTATTTTATTTTATTTTTTTGTAAAACATTATTACTGAAAACAACAGAAATCAAATTCAAGAATTGTATGTATATCTGAATTTGTGGGCTTCAAAGAAACTGTAAAACTACCAGTACGAAGGCACTTTTCAAATCAAAATTCAATCAAATCTCTGACCTAATTCATATTATTACGTGGGAGTTCGAGGAACAAAAAAGCAAAAAGCTGATAAACAATGCAACTGAAGTCTATGACTTTCGATCAGTCTGAACCTTTTGGCAGTCGAGATAAGCATCGAGCAATTTTGGGTATGAAGGATGAGAAGCAATTTTTGCCTTGATCAAACTGGAAGCCTGTCCACTTTCATCTTCAGGTTTGCCTTTTTCTGTTTGTGGATGGATTGACTCCACTTCTGTTGCCAATGAACAGCGAAATCCAATATCGTCCGTCAATACCGATATAGGGTACTGATGGTGATCACCGGACGAAATCAGGTCATAGTAGTGATTGTGATACTCTGCCGGAATAATCAGATTCTCCGGTGACATCAAGGCCTTATCTGAGTAATCACTTGCTGAATGAAGGCCATAAATTTCATCCATATATATAATCTTGTACAATCACAGAAGTATATTAATTAAAGAACCAGCTCTTGTTATGGATTAAATGACTAATCATGCACCGTCAACTATCAAAAGTAATTAAACAGCTAGAGCTACACACGTCTACTTGCTGTTACAGGATGATATTTCGATTTTGGATTATGAATGGAGGAGATGGAGTTGAGGGGTGTGATTATTTTTTGAGAAGAAAACAAGAAAAGAGATGCTCAAGGTGCGGCTCAGGTGCAGAAGTTGAGTGAAGAGGAGGCCCTATCTCCATTATTAATTCATCGACAAGTTTCATTATATATAAAAACTAATTTTTCCCAATTGCCTTTTTTTTCCCCTTTGCTTTTGAATTTCAAATTGCAATTTGCAAGCATAAAAATGAAATGAACCGGCACTAAACATCATCTAAGATCTAATCTCATAGCTAAGTTGGAAGAGATTACTCTTACGTCTTTTCTAGAGGTGTAAAATTGGGATGAATGGCGCACGCCTAGGTTAATGGAATTTTACTATGTCGAAAGAAAAAGGTGTTGAGCTGGAGCCGAATTTCAATTATGACTATAAAAGGTGAAACTCGAGGCTTCAAGCAAACTGCTCACTTTGTGAATAGTACTTGATATCTAGGCAATTCTACGTGGCTAATTTTTTTTTTTGTTTGATAGTCAAACTCTGTTTCGATAGTGTAACTGCACATCATTAAATTTATTATGACCTTTTTCTGCACAATCCATTTCATCACCCACAAATTATGTTCTGTACATCTTTTACAATATCAAAACTCAGTCTAGATATGTTTAATATATGTGTTGTACACATTGTTGACTAATAAGTGTATTTTGTATACTTATATTAAATAAGACTAATTATCATTAATTTTAACGATTTATGACTTAATTATGTATATATTTTGTTTGATAGGTAAAACTCAATGGAAATTGGTGGAATTGGAAGAAATGAATGAAGAAAGGGCAAGAATGAAGGAAATTCAAAGTTTGGGAATCAAAGTACAAATATTCAATAGTTGATTCGGATAATAAAATGATGATTGAAGATCGCATAGGATTAATTGGAATCAAATGAGTGAAATATTGTCAAAGTATTTTTACAACTCAATTTTCAGCTAAAAAACTTGTGCTCCAAATTTTTAGTCTCATATTGAGACCCTTTTTTTTTTTTTTATAGAAAACATTCAAATTAGAAAAATGATATTTCTAAAAGAATTGTAACTCTTTGTGCTATCTTTTCCAACACATTTTGAATTGTCTCAATCGAATATCGATATAAAAAGATATGACAAAAATACCGACAATTGTTCATAGACGAAATCACACGAACGAAACCCTCACACCTCACGGGACAAAAGTTTGGTGCACCTACGCCGACTTTGGCTAAAAATTAACAGAGAACCAATCAGTTACCTAGCGCGCATCTGATGAAAAAGGTGGCACCCTTGTGCCGGCAAAAATTCATCGACGGGTCAATATTTCCTTTTTAATTAATACTCTTTTATAACTTAAATTGAATGCGATTTTTACTCCTATAAATACAAAATATGAGCAGTCATTGAAAGGAGCTCTCTCTAGTCTATTAATACCATATCAAATCATCTAATTCATCAAGAAGAGGATGTCAATAGTTATATTTTGAGAGAGAATATCAAGTCCTAACAAGAATTGAAGCCCAATTACATAAAAAAAAAATATATGAAGAATTCAACTTTAGAATTGAAGATCGAGATTTCATACATTCATTCATGATCCAGGTGATATTCATTCATAATTCTTCTTGTAATTTATAAGAAATCATGTTAGGGTAGATCCGTAAATGTATTCGATTAAAATGAATCCTTGTTTATTTATTTTAATTCAAAACTAGTAATTTAATATTTCTTGCATCCTTAATTAATTTCGCATTCCCATTATATTATATAATTGTTTGTCCATCAATTAGATAATTAGTAACTTGTTGTAGTGTTGAAAAACTCACAATAAATTTAGATTGAGGCAAGATTAGCACACCAACAATAGATACAATTAGGAATAACAACATCGCATAAGTAATCATATAGATAATATGAAATTTTGATGCATTCTAATAATTCAAATTCATATTAGGAATATGATCGGATCATGATGGGAATATAATTAATTAATCTTGAAAAAGAAATTTAAATACCTTAAACTTTATCGATTTTCAATTAACTGAATTACATAATTGAGAATTAAATTAGATAGAAACAAACAGACTCTAAATCAATTACAATCATACATAATTTGATACTGTTAGAATTTGAGTGTGACCTGAATTTCTTGTTGAAATAATTGAAGAATTCTAATTGAAGTGCACGTCAAGAAGAATTCAGTTTACAATGCTATTGCAGTTTTATGTCAAGTTGAAGTTTTATTTTGGAAACTCATTGGGAGTTGAAAATTGGTATTGAACTTGAAGAAGAGTTTGTGATGTAAAAAAACAATTAAAAATAAAATAAAATCATTTTTCCGAGTTGAACACCTGGCGCCTGGGAGGGCCGGGGGGTCGGGGTCGGACCGTCGGAGCAACCTCCCCCGCCCCGTTACGCGTTTAAGGCGAGGAGGGGCGAGGCCCTTGCCCCGTTTACTACCCCTTTTAATTTTTTAAAAATTTTTTTATAATTCATTTTATTTCCCTCATTCATTAGACTAAGACAATAATATATTTTTTAATCTTTACTTATTTTTAAAATTTAAATTAGTCAAATATATTTGTTAATTAAGGCTTTTATTGTTTGTCATATTTTTTAGATAATTTTACTTGTCATTTTCTATTAGAACTAATGAAATTTCGTGAAATTTTTCATTTAAAGTATTGAATTCAAAAAAAAAATCAAAAAAATTAAACGAGGTAAGGCAAGGCGAGGCGGGGCGGGGAGGGGCACCAGTTACCCGTCCCTGCCCCGGGGCAAAGTTTCCGCTCCGTCCCCACCCTGAATATCCAATTAAGAAGGTAGATGTGTCAAGACGGACGAACCGGTCAGACCCGTGAAAATCGACTCGGATCGACCCAGGACAGGGGGCCTACCTATGACCCGAGCGAGAGGTTCAGGGGTCAATGAGGTGTGACCCGCAGGTTTCGTGGGTTGAACCTTCACGGGCCGCAGTTAACCCGCTAGCCCGTGAAAAAAAAATTAAATTAAAAAAATTTGAAAAAAATGGGGAAAGAGAGCCATTGAACGGACATACCTGAAGATGAAGTAGATAATTTAGATATTTTATGATGGTGGAAATTAAATGAGCGGACATATCTTGTATTATTTAAAATAGCACGAGATATACTAACAGTACCAATCACAACAGTGACATCCGAGTTTGCAATTAGTGCAGGTAATAGGGTATTGGACGAACGAAGATCTAGACTTAAA